ATAATCCTTTCTCTGGTGAGGAAAAGCTCCAAAAACTTTCGTCGGTTCTGCTAGTCCCTGGTTCCCCGCAGCATCAAAAAACACACATCATCAAACAATTTGAACACACTCTTACACACACAGGGCCCACACCCAGCTGCCACTCATTGAGCCTCATTAAGAACCACACCTGGCCTACTCTTCCTCTCCTCCCTCATATGCAGACTCTGCTGCCCCAGCACTGCCCCAGGTGGGAGCTGCTGTTTATTACAAGATGAAAAACTCACTGCATTATTTGAGTGGGTTACATCAGCAATGTATCAACAACCACACACACATTTCTATCAGTATGTCTCTGTGTTGTGGTTGACATGATGATGACTGTTAGGAGTTAAGGGGAGAGGCTGAGCATCACCATGATGATGACTGTTAGGAGTTAAGGGGAGAGGCTGAGCATCACCATGATGATGACTGTTAGGAGTTAAGGGGAGAGGCTGAGCGTCACCATGATGATGACTGTTAGGAGTTAAGGGGAGAGGCTGAGCGTCACCATGAAATGTGCAAATTGACATAAAAATGAATAAAAGGGGAAAAAATGCTCCATGTTTTTTAGGCTGTAAACTTGAACTGTTATGTAAGCCAACTAGACAGACAGTTTATCACCCTCCCTCCTGTACATTAGCAGATACAAGGCATAACATATCCTACGTGAATGAATGGTAAATAAAGAATGCTGGAAATAACTGCTTCTCGGACTGAAACTGTCATTTTGCCGACATCTCTTCACCTGCACTAGTGGCCGTATCAAAGCCGTGATTGGTCAGATGTCGATGAATTAATTCATCCCCTTGTCCCCTCTCACTCTCGCGTGTCAGCGGGGGGGTGCGCGGAGAACTGCGCACAAGCCAAGCTCATAAACCGAGGCCCCCTGTAGGGAGGGACGGCCCTGCACATTAGGTAATGGGGCACAGGTGGAAACAATCAGGAGCAGGAAACAACAATCAGGCTGACAGGTGACACAAAAGGACAGGAAGTGTAGACACCTGAAACGAGAGGGTAGAGTCATTTACCAAAATAAAATGAAAGGTCACAAGATATAAACACAAAACAATAAACTAGAAGGATTCTAACACTGAAACCTTACAAAGGCTGCAGCCAGAGGATGATCTGAGTTGTTTTAAGGGGGTGACGCTACTCAGCCAATCAAATCGGTGCAGTCCGTGAGCACGATAGATTCAAACACACACAGAGACGAGACAAGAGGAGAGAAACAGTCTGAGTCATTTCAAATGGCGGAAGGTAGACAGCGAAAACAGAGCATTTAAGGACATTTTCTCTTACTGGACCTCTTTGAAATGCAATTGAATGCCCCTGCATTATAGCAATAACAACAACAACAATAACAATAATAGCAATACTACTTGGGAGGGGGGGCATGGCTGTTCTTATGTCCTCTGAGGGGAGGCTCACCTTCCCACACTTTGAAAACCCCTGTTCTAGACGCTCTGAAAGATATCATACACAAAAGACAAGGATGATCAGCCTTTTCATTTCCTTTTTAATAACGCCTAGAAAACAGAGAAAAACGAGCTTGCTCTGAAGTATGCTTGGGACTCAACAGAGGAGCAGATCAGTCAATTTGCGGATTTTCTGGAAAGCACCAAACCTCAGGACCTGACAACGACAGTGGAAGTGCTGAATGCACGCATCGGACTGACAGCCTGTATCCACAACCTGCAAGAGAGGATTGAGTTTATTGAGAAGAAACAGGGAGTGATCCAACAGACTCAGGAAGCCCTGAAGAAACACGAACAAGACATGACAGATAACAAGGACTTTGAAGTAGAGCTTGATGAGGTCTTCAAATGTAAAGAAGTGATCAGTGAGAAACGATGGTGGGCGTTGGGGTTCAACTATGGAGGAGCATGGTCATGTAGAATAAGGCATTAATATGTGTTTTATAATGACTAATAAAGAGCCAATATACTGCTCAAACTAGTGGATGGTTAATTTGTGTACCTTTATATAAAGTGTTACCTTATTTTTAAATAAATAACAATGGTGGATACTAGGGGTGTAACGGTTCACAAACATTTCGGTTCGGTACGTACCTCGGTTTTTTGGTCACGGTTCGGTTCGGTACGTTTTCGGTACAGCAGAATTTTTTTTCACAGAACAAAACATATATATATATATTTTTTTTATTATTATTAAACTGTGAATAATGTATTCACTCAAATAAATACAAAATATAATAAAATAAACATTAAGGTGCAGCATTTCGATGAACTGAAATAATCTGTATTTGAACTTTACTGTACTAGTACTCACAAAACATAAACTATTAGTTTTGGGTTTTTAATTATTATTAAACTGTGAATATTCACTCAAATAAATACAAAATATAATAAAATAAACATTAAGGTGCAGCATTTCTATGAACTGAAATAATCTGTATTTGAACTGTACTGAACTAGCACCTAAGCAGCCAGTTTGACATTAGGACTTGCTTGTCATTGTATTTTCATGTTTTTTTAAAGAAAAATTAACTTGTCCACATTGGTTGCCGAAAGGGCAGATCTGCTGGCACTAACAATGTCTCCTGCTGTGGAGAACACCCTCTCGCTAGGGACAGAGGTAGCAGATACAGCCAGGTAGCGCTTTGCTAACATGGCAACATAAGGATATTTGGCGTTTGTAATAGCTTTGGCTCGGTCTGATCTTTTTGCGAGTGGTGGAGGCTTAAATGCTAGCGGGAGTTGGATTTGCACTTCAGTCTTTTTTCTTTTGGTACCGGTGATATTCACGTTCGGGTGATGCCTTTTCAAGAGTGTGCAAGTTTGATGTATTGCCAGCCGCGTAACCAATTTTAGTTGAACAATGCCGACAAACAGCTTTGGTTCGGTCCACCTGTCTTTGTCCTTCATCCTTGTACGTAACTGCGAAACCAAAATGTTCCCAAACCGGAGACTTCAATGATGCTGGAGGATTTTCGAGCTCAACTTTATCTGCGTTCGCCATTAATTTTCGACAGTTCCTCAAATTACTGACTACATTTGAACGCATCCCTCTGACCAGCTCTCATAGTATGCCTCTCATCCAATGAAATGACTTGCTCGCTCTATGACGCGTTGAACCCAATGTGACCAAATTACTCTGAATGCTGCGACGCAGCACCTGAGATTACTTCCAAAAAGTTGTTCACGTTCTCAATTTTTTACGTTTAACGTTATATTCGTTCGGTACACTTCGGTACACACCTGTACCGAACCGAAGGGCCCGTACCGAATAATTTCGGTACGGGTACGTGTACCGTTACACCCCTAGTGGATACCCATGACTTCCCCTTCCCTCCAGCTTGTGTTCAGGCTGGTCTGCCACCTGGTGGTTTTCCGCCTGTACTGCATCTGCACAGGTAAAACACTTCCTTTGTTTAAAATGAACACAACTCCACGTGTTCTAGGTCCTATGGGGTGCTATAACTACACATTATACTATATACTATTGTAAGGGAAACTTCTGCAGCAATGGAGAGTCAGGACTCAGAGAGACACGAGGAGAGTTGGAGCTTTGATGTCAAACACTAGTAGTTTATTACAAGTCAACGGCCGGAGAATTCATATCACAAGTCACAGCAGCAAAAGGTTCTGACTGCATGGGTGGGTTGCCATGTCAATTCTGATCAGCCTATCTCTCGATAGACCTTTTAACTAGTTTACAGAGAGTTAATCAGCATATTGGGGGAGGCGTAAACATCTGTGGAGCTAGAGGAGATTATCCCCCAACTAGAAATACTCAATCACTTGTCAGTGGTGTTGAGAAGCCAGCATTCTCATAGTCGTTAACCCTCCCTATGCCCTGTAGGTCAAGCTGTAAAACCTAGTATCGACATACGACTGCATCAACACATTCCTTACGGGAGATAAGGAGCAGGGCTGATCGTAAATGTAAACACACAGTAAATGTTAAATATCTTAGGAGTAAGGAAGAATTATTATTTGACACTTAGGAAGAGAGAAGAAATATTCTCTAACAACTATAATAACTCACACACCATCATTACATTGGTTCTGACCCACAATCCTTTGCACCACAGATATAGGGGAAGAGCAAATGATCAAAGTTTGAGGTGTAAAGTTGTAATTGTCTGCATGCAACAACAAATGCTACGTAAACTGCAGTATTAGTACTTTAAGTGAAGTACAGAAAACATTTACATGTAATGGAAGGTACAATTTGTTAAAGAGTATCAAGGTGAACATTTAAATTAAAATACTTAAAATAGAGTCGTAACTGAGGAGCCAGGACACATCCTTTAATATTTTACTCTTTAGTTTAGAAGTAGGCATGGGAAAAAGATGATTCAGTCGCTTCAAATCAATCCACCTGCATTAGCTGCTGTAGCTCAGTGGTTAAAGCAGGCAGTCCATATGTAGATCACTGTGAGGCGTGTGTTTGATTCCCCATCCTTGTAGAACATATTATGGGCTGTATATTTAAAAAAAAATCTGTCTTGCCATAAAACATAAATAACAAAATTAAACGTTACTTAAAGAATTTTCACAAAAATTAAGCACATGCTAAAAAAAAGAAAGCCTTTATACCTTAACTGCTCCCTGCTACCTGTATTCTGTATAGGGGGTATAACTGTTGGTGTCTATTAAAAAACACAAACCAGCGAACACTGAATAAACAAAGGTTATTTTGTATTTAAAATGCAAGTCTATTCTTGTTCCTTTTGCCTTTTATCGGCACCTTGCTGCTCGGACCCTGTACGTTTCCCCGCTGTGTGACGAATAAAGGCTTTCTGATTCTGATGTATTTGGTATGTGAGAGAGGGGTTTACCTGAAGAGACAAGTATGTTTTTGCATTCACAACAACCCCAGCATCTGGGCTATGCAGCGGTCCTCAACACAATGTTTTATCAGCTTTAATCACTCATCTGTTTGTATCTGAGACTGTTTCTGTGAAATCACGTGACCATAGATCATCCTGCCCCCTCCCCCTGTCTGGTATTTAAAACAGTTTCTCCTTCCGCCTCCTCGTCTTCAGAAAACAAGCAAACAGGTAAGAACACTTTAGGCAGAATCCTGAGAAATAGTGATTTGATTTAGAACTCAGATTTTTTTTTTAAAACTCAGAAAACCGTTCCAAAAACTGGCAGCTATCTTGTAATAATAACGTATAACAACCTGTTTCTTTGACTGTGCACTTACTGGGGGGTTTTATGGTCTGTCTAATGTTCTGTTTTAATATCTTGAAATCTGAGATTTGGACTTTCAAGAGCTACATTTGTGTGAAAAAAGTCAGATTTGTTTCCTCGCAATTCTAAGTAATTCAAGAAATACAACCACTTATACAATAAAACAATAAAGATCACTTCCTGCTTTCAAATTTCAAGGTCATTTAATCTGTAACATCACTGTTGATATGTTAAAATTCTACTACTGGCTGCTTATTCTTTTTGCACCCATTACCTGTTGTACCAATGTTGTAGTGCAACACTGTGCCACATACTGTACTTATATATATATCCCAGTAAATATACTAGTTGTCATAGAATATTTTAATCCAATCTCTGTTGTCTTTAACTTTTATGATAGAAGTTATTTCCTTGAAGTAGCTCGGAGAGGCCTCCCCCTCCTTCCTGTGGGGGAGGCCTCCCCTGCCTTCCTGTGGGGGAGGCCTCCCCTGCCTTCCTGTGGGGGAGGGTATTTCTTCTCGTCTATGCTTTTACGAGACAAAAATATGGAAGCAAACAAGAGACAGAAGTATTTGAATTTTATTTGACACCGAATTTATAGCATTGAAAATAATTACTTTGAAAAGCATGTATCTGAATGTTTTTGCTCCGAATTTACCTAAGTGAAATAACAATTTAAAAATTCAAGTTAAAAAAATTCGAATTTTCAAATTCAGATCCCAAAAATTCAAGTGAAAAGAATTCGACGTCAAAAAATTCGGTGTATAAAATTCGATGTCCAAAATTGCGATGCAGCATCATCCGGGCTACTCAGACAGTTTGACGGTTTGCAAAGTAACGTAACGATCACTTCGGTTAGATAAGTAAAGTAGACCATGCTACACTATACGAAATACTCTCTTACAAAAGCCCTGCATTTGAACATGTTAATGTTACTTTAGTAAAAGTATGCTAGTATAATTAGGATCCCTATTTAAACATAATTTCCTTGTCACTAAAGCATTGACTACGCTATTCATCATCCTTAAATGCAGGAATTAAGTTACATGTTCCGTTGTACAGCCACGATAAGGCTGTTTCTCAAGTGTGATGATAATACAATTAAAAGAGGCATTGGTAATAATATTAAAAACAACAATGTTTGGGTCGTTCGTCGGATAGGCGGTTAGCTGCAATAAATAACTCCAGTTCAACAAACCATATTACAATATCTAAGGGAGCGTTATTATCTTGAAATGTGACGTTCATATTTTAAAGATACACACATTTCATTGTGAGGTTGATTTAATATACACTAACTCTCTTCAACAATACGTTGACGTTAGCTAGTCTATTTTATGCTATAGTAGAGCATAGCGAATTTAAATGAACCTTAACAATGCATACAGTAACCTAACTAGCAAACTAGCTATCCAACGTACAAGGATGACCTTATTTTAGCAACCTCGCACAGAAGCCTTTTGGTATACAGTAGCATCCCACTTAATGTTTTACACTCTTGGATGCTACGCATAGCATTGTTAGCACAGATGGAGCTACGATTGCTCAAATGCTAACCCAACTCTAAACATTCATTAACGTTAGCTTAATAAAAACACCAGTAACATAACATAAAGTACGCAGGGTTGACTTACCGAAGAAACTGCATTCATGGACGGTCTGTTTCAACCGCAGATAAATCCTATATTTGCAGGACGAATAGTCCACCAGGAGCCAACACAACAAACACGGCCGAGTTCAAGTAGTGTTCTCCTCATGAGCTGAGCCGCTGTAGCATCACGGAGCCAATGGAGCTAACGGAGCTAGCAGAGAGGAGCTAGGAGCAGCAGTCCCGTTGTCATGAAGGGGGAATCTAACTATATACAGAATATGTTTTTGTGGATCCAGGCTAGAAACATGTTCATTTTCTGATGTTAAGTTGGACATTTTAACAAAGGGTCTACGGGAATTGCTCCCATCTGCATCCATCGCATACAGTTTGCAGCATTGGGCTTCACCGCACTGTCCCGGGGTTTGCCGCTTGGCTCTGATAGGCCAGAAGTGATTGCATTCGGACTCGATTGCTTATCCTGTCTGAGTAGCCCGGATGATGTTGCATCGCAATTTTTGACGTAGAATTGTATACACCAAATTTTTTTACATCGAATTTTAAACACCGAAATATTTGACGTAGAATTTTTTTCACTTGAATTTTTGGGATCTGAATTTGAACATTCGAATTTTTTTAACTTGAATTTTTACATTGTTATTTCACATAGGTAAATTCGGAGCAAAACAAATTCAGATACATGATTTTCAAAGTAATTATTTTCAATGCTATAAATTCGGTGTCTGATAAAATTCAAATACTTCTGTCTCTTGTTTGCTTCCATACAACAGTCCTTTGTCTCTGACATCTGGCATGCATTAAGGAAAAGCCCGCGCTTTTGTAAAGTCCCTCCCTTTCTATGTATCTTGCAGGGTGTTGCTTCTTTGTGACAGAGCTGGCTTGGTTTCGTCCCAACAGGGTGGAACTATACGGGCTCTCCGGCCGTTTGTTTGTTTGTTTGTACTTAAAATAAACTCTCAGTGCTTTGGCCAACGACGATCCAGTCTCCTTCATTGTTACTCAACATTGAAAGACAGAAGTTTTCCTCACACTAGTTACTATCTGGCCCTTTTAGTGTGGCTGGCCCAGATTTCCCTGATGTGTTTGGCCAGCCCCCCTGTCCCGCATAGTTGGATTTACATTATTGTGTAAACAGTCTCTCTGGTTTGCCGTTGAAATATATATTATTTTTCTTCCATCCAGAAAAACCTGCTTTCTAAAGCTCCTGCAACCAGTCACCATGGCAATGTGAGTAATACTAACGTTCCTCAAACAACAATGAAATGCTGCCTCACCACCTTACCTTATGTGCAAAGTGAAACTCTGAATCAATATACCCTTTGTTGCAGTCAGGATGGTGATGATGGATGATTTTATCTAAAACAAAACACATTATTAAAATACAGATCTTATAATATTTGTATAAAGGAGCAATTTTACTTTATCACTTACTTATACACTGCACTACTTATAATGCGTCTACAGTAGACATTTTTCCTCACAACATAAGATAAGAAAAGATAGGACTTTATTTATCACAAAGGAAATAGTTTTGCCAGGGTTACAGATATACAATAAACATAGAAGCATAATAATAAAACTGTACACAGTGCAGTAAAAAGAGCAATTAAATAACTACAAGAAACATAGACGGACAATCAAAAGGAATCTAGCAGGACAAATACAAAGCAGAATTTTTACTTTTGAACTACATTGCGTGCATGATATTAATTCTGGGAGTGAAAGTCCATGTTCAAACTCTCATTTAGTTTCTTTGTTCTGAAAGAAGGAAGTTACAGGCATGAAGGGAGGGGTTTTGTTATCCTGGGTAAGGGAGTGGTCTATACATGAGTGAAAGTCTAGGAGGTGCTGCATGTCGGTAATAGATTATGGTAACACTTTATATTAAGGTACACAAATTAGCCATCAACTAGTTGTTAACTAACATGCATATTAACAGTATATTGACTCTTTATTAGTCATTATAAAACACTTATTAATGCCTTATTCTACATGACCATATTCTACAAGTAATAAGCCATTAGTTGAGAGTGTTTCCTCAATAACCCTCTAATTAGTGCTGATTTATTACAAGTAAGGAAGTTGTTGTACATTAGTTTTGGTCTTAATATGCTCTGCTCAATATGGGCCTAATAAGGCAGTAGTACCATAAGAATAGCAATTCTCCCATAATAACACTTAACAAATATGATATATTCGTATGTAACATGACATGCAACTATAAGTGTTAAAGGTGACTAAATAACTCAAAATTAGGTATTTCTATCTAAGAACATGTTCCCTATTCTAAAGTGAAGTCTTGTTCATAACCAATAAGCTAGTAGTTTGACTCTAATTGACCTGAACAGGTTCCCTATTCTAAAGTTGCCTCCTCTTCACACTTTGTAAATACATTATAGCATACAACTACTGAAATTAACCTCAACAGCACATGAACAAAGTAGGCTCACGTTGAAATATGTGTACTCAGAGCCATATAATCTCTCTATATGGCGCTGGGTGTACTGTCTCAGTGTTAAAGGTGGGGTAGGTAAGTTTGAGAAACCAGCTCGAGATACACGTTTTGTTATATTCCATGGAATACTCTTAACATCCCGATAGCAATGAATATATTAAATGCTTTGACAAAAAATACATAAAAAAACTTCATCTGTGGAAGCCGTGGCGCTGTAAAAAGCACGACCAATCATCTGAGCCGGCCCGGCTAAAGTAACTGGATGGCCTACCTGCCTGTCAGCCTTCCATCTGTGCACAAACTTATCTCGTGCCCTCATTGGTCATGTGTGCGTTTGTGTGTGTTGGAGGAGGGGCTCTGTACGGAAGTCTGAAGGAAGTGGCAGATTTTTTCCGGCTGTTGTATTTTCAAATTCTAGCGCACTCGAGCTGATCTCTCCAAAATTACCTACCCCTAGGCCTGTTACGATAATTCATTTTGTTGGACGATAAATCTTCCTGGAAATTATTGCGATAAACGTTAATATTGCCGGCACTGTTGTAAGGCCATTTTAGACCACTGACATAATGATAATATATAATAATAATTCAAGTACATCCTTTCAAACATAACTTTTTATTGGACATTCAACATGGCAAATGAAATGTGAAATAATGTTAAAATATATAAATGATATATAATAAATAAAACAAATTAATTAAATTATAATAAATTAATTAAATCACACGCAACCAAAACAATTAATTAAATAGACTCAGGCTGGAAAACAGAGCTCTCTCTCTCTATCTATCTATATATATATATTATAAATATATAAATAAATATGAGCATACATTGTCTCACAAGCAAAAAAAACCTCCTTAAAACAACAGTCAAGTGTATAGTCCACTGTCAAAGACCCAGATGCCTCAGGCCATATCCAAATCTGTTTTTCAAAGTTTTCGAGCAAGGAACACCAACATGTTTGCATTGTCGGGCAAATGCATCTTTGATTGCAAACTGTCGGGAAGGTGGGGGCTCTCCATCTCCAGCTGCCGTGTTCGCTACCTGCTGGGAAAACAGAATGGGGTGGTTGTGTTTTAGGTGTAGTTTAAAATGCGTGGTATAGAGCAGTGGTTCCCAAACAGTGTGCCGCGACGATTTTGTGACAACCATACGTTATTATTGCAATATAGCCTACAACTACACAAAAATAATTATTTAATTTTTAATTTACTATATCAGTACTTTGTAGGTTTATATGTACGTAATCTGCGCAACTTGTGCGTCCACATCTCCACGTGCAGTGCTGCATAAACATGGCTGAGTCAGCGATAACTCTCGAGGGGTGGAGGTATGCCCATTATTATGAGTTCGTCCGAAGAATAGACAGGAATGTGACGGTGAGGTGCAAACTGTGTCCAGGCCAGAAGCTGTTATCCACTGCTGGAAACACCACGTGGTCAAACCTCAACAAGCACCTGCAAAGAACACATGCTAAGGTGAAGCTACCGCACACGCTATTTGTTGTTTGTTTATATCACGTATATCTTCTTCTCTGTCTTCCGGTTGTTGCCTGTTTTGAATGACAAATACACACTACCACCGCCTGCTGGTAAGGAAAGTTATTGCCACTCACGCATGCGCAGTTCGTACATGCTCGGCGAGTAAAGTAACGAGTAAAGTAACGAGTTACTTTATGTAGATAGTAACGAAGTAGTGTAATATATTACTTTTTTTTAAAAATAATATGTAATATATTAAAACATTTTAGTAACGACCCCATCTCTGGAGTTGGCGTTCTCTATTCTGATTTACATGAAGAACAACAGGAGGTCACGGCTCTCTGTTGAACAGGACTTGCGAGTGGCCCTCTCCTCAGTGCCACCAAGGATTACAAAATTCTGCGCGCCCCGACAGGCACATGTATCTCACTAATTTGTAAGTCGGCAAAAATATTTACAATAGCACAAGTTTCAATGCTGATTGCTGAAATGTTACATTTATAATGTGTAGTTCAGGACCATGGACAATGCAGCTTCTGTTAGGATCTGTCTGTGTTGGTGTTTTTTCTTGTCTTTTTCTATCTTTGGGTTTCCTGTTTTATTTTGTAAAGTGTTCACCCCCGTTTCCTGCCTCTTTGCTTTCTGTCTGTTTCCCTCCCCGATTACCCGATTGTGTTCACCTGGTATCTCTGTGTTTTCTCCTCCCTCCTCACCTGTCTCGTGTTTATGTGATTAGTCCTGGGTGTATTTAAGTTCTGGGTTTTCTGTCTCTCTTTGTCGGGTTGTCTTGTGTAAATGACCAGTTCATCGGTGAGTGTTCCGTTCTGTCTCTGTTTTTTTGTATACCAGTAGCCTTGAAATAAAGGAGTTATTTATTATAGTTCTGCATTTGGGTCCTGATTCCTGCTCACCGTAACATTACAACCCGACCATAAATATGGGCCCAGCAGATCCGTTCGAGCTGGAATTATTGAATTTTTCCTTTTTTCTGGCTAACTGCTCGGATCGATGGAAGAGAGCACCCGGAGTTCAGCAGCGAGAGGCGGTGTTATCAGAGGCGCGCCAGATGGCTAGAGAGAAACCAGGTTTGGTGAAATTCTTACCTGGCTGGATTTCAAAGATCCTCCCGGTGTGTGATTCCCGGCCTGCTAGCCCCAGGCATGCTAGCTCCCTGGCTCCCAATTCCCAACCTGGCACCATACGCCTTGGTGGGTTCCGCCTACACTCAACCCGTGCTTCTGCTCCAGTCCCTGCTCCTGTCCAGGAGTTGTATTCCGGAACTCGTCTGGCTTATGGAGGTCCACGGAGTATTCAGGCGGCTGCTAAGAGGAGTCGTCGCAAGGCCAGGCTAGCAGCCGGAGCAGCCACAATTCCGGCTCCAGAACCGGACCTTACAGTCATGTTTCCGGCTCCAGAACCGGACCTTACAGCCATGTTTCCGGCTCCAGAACCGGACCTTACAGCCATGTTTCCGGCTCCTGAACCGGACCTTACAGCCATGTTTCCGGCTCCAGAACCGGACCTTACAGCCATGTTTCCGGCTCCTGAACCGGACCTTACAGCCATGATTCTGGCTTCAGTACCGGCCCCAGTAGCCATGGTCCCGACTCCAGTTTCGGCTCCAGGACTGGCGTACCGGCCAACGCCAGCTCCCCGAGGCCTGTTGGCGTACCGGCCAACGCCAGCTCCCCGAGGCCTGTCGGCGTACCGGCCGACTCCAGCACCTCGTCTCCTGCTGGCTCCCCAGCCGACGCCAGCTCCCCGAGTCTTGTCGGCGTACCGGCCGACTCCAGCACCTCGTCTCCTGCTGGCTCTCCAGCCGACGCCAGCTCCCCGTGTCCTGTCGGCGTACCGACCGACACAAGTTCCTTCTCAAGACCCTTCTCAAGTCCCCTCTCAAGTCCCCTCTCGACTTCCCTCTCAAATTCCTTTTCAAGTCCCCTCTCAAGTCTCCTCTCCAGTTCCCTCTCGAGTTGCCTCTCAAGCTACTTCTCGAGTTCCCTCTCAAGTCTCCTCTCGAGTTCCCTCTCAAGTCATCTCTCGAGTCCCCGCTCGAGTTACCTCTCAAGTCACCTCTCGAGTCTCCTCTCGAGTTCCCTCTCGAGATTCCTCTCAAGTCACCTCTCCAGTCAACTCTCAAGTTTCCTCTCGAGTCCCATCTCAAGTCACCTCTCGAGTCACCTATCGAGTTCCCTCTCGAGTCACCTCTCGAGTCCCCTCTCGAGTTCCCTCTCGAGTCACCTCTCGAGTCCCCTCTCGAGTTCCCTCTCGAGTCACCTCTCGAGTCA